AAGTTGCTCGATCTAGTATTTTTCTGTCTCAAAAGAAAGTATATTTTGGACCTATTGACTGAAACCAGGATGCTAGCCCGCCAACCTATTCATACTCCAATTAAGAAAAATCACAGATTGGGGAATGATAGTGCTGACCAGGTTCCAACTAACAAAGAGAAATACCAAAGGTTAGTTGGGAGATTGATTTGCTTGACTCACACACGACCAGATTTGGCTTGTGCTGGAAGTGTGGTGAGTTAGTTTATGCATTCACCTAATGAAGCCCATATGGATGCAGTTCATCGGATCCTCAAATATTTGAAATCCGCACCTGGTAAGGGTTTAATGTTTTCTAAACATGGTCATCTAGATGTTAAGGGGTATACAGACGCTGATTGGGCGGGGTCAATTACTGATTGGAAGTCTACTTCTGGACACTTCACATGTGTTGGACGAAACTTAGTCACATGGCTTAGTAAAAAACAAAAAGTTGTGGCTAGGTCAAGTGCTAAGGCAGAATACAGGCCATGTCACATGGTGTTTGTGAGTTGTGTTTAAAGATCTTGATGGGAGAATTGAGTTTTAATCTTGATAAACCAATCAATCTAAGCTGTGACACAAGGCAGCTATTAGTATTGCCAATAATCCAATTCAACATGATCGTACTAAACATGTTGAAGTGGATAGACACTTCATCAAGGAGAAACTAACTAATGGGATTATCAGCATGCCTTTTGTGAAATCTGAATATCAATTAGCAGATATCTTGACAAAGGTAGTATCAAATCATGTCGGGTTTTATACTCCACACTTGTCAAGTTAGGTATCCGAGATATCTATACCCCAACTTGAGGGGAGTGTTGACGTGTGTACAGCTAGGGATTACTTGACCTTTTTAGTTATTATAGTAGCTGTTAATTATATTAGTTGTACTAGTTAATTGTAAATCTTTTCCTTTCCTATATTACCTTGTACGGCTATATATACATCCGTATTGGAGAAGAATAAAATCATATGATCCATTCTAGCAAATCCAAATGTCTCTTATTTTAGACAAATTTACGACACTTGGGCATCTAATGCTTAAAGACACATAAAACACAATGCAAGTTTGAAAGTATTTAAAAACTATACAATATGGACTTAGACCCATACTGTGTTGTCTTGATTTATTTTATTGTAATATTATCTATTGTATAGGCCTGTCCATATTGTGCTTCTTGGGTGCTGAGGGTCAATTATCACTCCAAATATCTGATTTCAAAATTTGAGTACAGTTCATTGGATGGAACTAGATTTAACACAACAGACCGTGACAAAGTCATGGCGTGCATAAGGTCAATCAGGAAACTTGATGCCTATGTTATATGGACTACCATATAAGTATCGGGTGCTGGTGTATGTTCAAGTATTAGATCTTCCTAAACTTAAATATTTGGATATTGGGACATGTATCCAAAAGTTGGGTACAAGTACATAAGACACATCTAGAATATTTAAATATATCGTGTATTATATGATATTACGACATAAGATGTTGTAAATTGTTGAAAATATAATTGAAATTGTATGAGAAACGGGAAAAAAATAAGATTTCTATCTCTCATCCATGTCAGAAGCTATAAAGTTTTCTTGACTACCAAATATGAGTTTCTTTTTCTTCGAATATTGTAAACATTAAAGGATCCAAATGTCTAATTTAGGTCCGGGTGTCAAGCACATACCTCATACTCTTATCCCCGTCAAATTCTGTGGACACAAGTACAAGAGAAGGCAAATAAATATGGACACGGGCATGCAATACGATAATTTTAAGGAAATACAGGACACGACTGATGGGGGAGACATATTTATTATGTCATATATATGTATATTTCATTCAAAGATAATAAAAAATGCAACATAACACTAATTACCAAAGTTAAAAGGATTAACTTTAAGTTATTGTCTTGTCTTTGTTTATTAAGTTATTTCGTTCAAACTTTAAAATGTGTTTTGATGGACACGTGTATCCCCCAAGTCATGATTATGATTTGCTTCAACCTAAGAAGCATGGACACGGACACGTGACACGACATGAATACGACACGGACACGCCGACACGTTAATTTTAAAAAAATGCAGGACACGACACGTGGAGGACACGCATGAAATATATAATTTTATATATTTATTATATGTTATATATATGAATATATCATTCAAAGATAATAAAAAATGTAAAATAGCACCAATTCTTATAAATTTATATGGTTTTTGTTTTATTATTGTATCTTAAGTTGTTTTGTTTAAACTTATAATTAGTTTCACATATGTATAATCAATAGACACATGTGTTTAAACAATTGACACGTGTGTCCTCCAAGTGTCCAAAGAGTGTCCGGGTCTTTAAAAATATTTAAAAAATAGGATACGTTTTGAAGAGTATCGAACACGTGTCCTAAGAGTGTCCAAAGAGTGTCGGTGTCCGACACGGACATGACACGGATACGTCACCTTCTTAGAAGTGTCCGTGCTTCTTAGGCTTCAACCATCTAATCACTTTTTTTCCATAAGCTTGGCCTTCTTTTTCTTCTTCTTTTTGTTTTGTTTTTTTTTTTTTTTTAAATTTATTTTATTTTATTGGTTTTCTTTATCTTTTTTGTCTAAAGCTACATAGACTTCCAAAATACACTTTGGACAAAAAAGATAAAGAAAATCAACAAAATAAAATAAACAAAAAAAAAGGAGAAGAAAAAGAAGGCCAAGCTTATGAAAAAAAAGTGATCAGATGGTTGAAGCAAATCATAAAAAAGAATAAGAAAATGTTTCTCCAAAGTTCCTTCCACTCCCAATTTTGCAGTCCTATTTTGCTTCATTGCTTGTCTTCTCTTTTATGCAAATGGAAAGGGGCAATTTTTTTTAAAATAAAAAATTAAGTGGGTAAAATAAAAATGAAATGAAGATAAAAAAAAAAAAAAAAAAATACAACAGTGAATATATAAAACTATGTTACCCTCAGGGGTTTGAAATGACATTAAATAATTTCAGCTAAATAATTAAATAAAATTAACAAATTGAGATCACCTTGAAGATTGACAATACAAAAAATAAACAAAAAACTCAAATTAAAATACCTATTTGGGATCTCCAAGTATAGATATTCTATGGATTCTCCCCTCCCCTCCCCTCCCCTCTTAGCCTCCTCCACTATGGGGTCTCCTCACACAGAACACCCATGGAACATTCTTCTCTGCCTTATGGCTTTTTCTTCTGACCCGCTTCCCTCTTTGTCTTCTAGAAACGGTGGTGGTCTAGTGAGGATCATAATGAATACTGGAAGTTAGATGTGAAGGCAAGGTAGGGTAGGGTAGGTTAAGAGGTTAGGGTTTAGCAAAGATGAAGAAGAAGAAGAAGAAGAAGAAGAAGAAGAAGAGGAAATTGAGAAAGAAGGCAGGGCAGTGTAGGGATTATTGGGAGATGATGAGAGCAAGCGTTGTTTCAAAATTTGAAATTAGAGACTTAAGGGAACCATACAGTTCAAACAATCTCAGCCAAACAAATAATCTCTACCGTTCATTTTAACACCAAACAATCTCAGCCTTCCAGACAAAATATGAGTGATCAATCTCAGCCATCCAAAATTTGCCAGCTAGGACAAATGTCTACTCAAGTTTCAAAACCACCCTTCCCTTGTCTTGACCACTCCTTACTTGTGTGTATGTATATGCTAGGTGCATGGGCATCATGCATTGCACGAAAAATCGTCCCCATGAGTTGATGTAGTATGTAATTTGAAATAATGCAATTGTAAACTTTGTGAAATTCATAATATAGATCAAAATGAATAAATAAAACAGGTGCTACACAAAATAGAAATGCAGAATTCACTTTCATTTGATAACAACAGCATATCAATGGAAGTATTTTTCCATTCCATGAGCAAAATATCAATCTATCTTCTATCTATCTATACTATTACAAGGTGAAGGCGTCTGGTCGTGTTGACACAAATGTGTGTCATATTTTGGGTTTTCCCAAAATACCCCTATATTTTGAGTTTTTGTAAAAATTATGCAAAGGCGGGCCTTGAACCCATGACCATGGGTTTAATAATGAAGGCTTTTATCACGTGAGCAACACAAACTATAAGTGCATTTTTCTTTGTCATTATTCTTAAAATGTTATTTTTTTTTCGAGTTGCACATGCATCGCATGTGTCCGCTAGTATATCTTATGCTTCCACATGAGAATGCAATAAAGCACAGAGACTTGCTACACCCATCAATTCATTTGCATTCGGACACTTTTCCTCTATTGCATGAGTAGGATTAAACAGGAAACGGCTTCCAATTAATATAAAAAGTTAAGAAGCTAGGGTATCAAAGGATTTGGGCAGGCGTGGCTGATCAAAAAGAGGATTTGGGCATGCAGATCTATCTTATCTGTTTCGTTTAGGCTCCAAACCTTTTAGTTGAAATGCTTCACCACAAGTTCAAGAAATTGAGGTTTTAGTTCAAATAATAAAATTTATAAATCTGAATGGGATGCTGCTAATTACAAATCCAACTTAAATAATGTAAATAAGATTCTTCAACATGCCATGATTGCAATAAAAACATTCCAAAGAGCCAGGAGATTGAGTAAAAAGTTTCCCTTGTTGACTTACACTTCAAAGTTGTAGCAACAATTCACTATAGTAAAAGGGTTATTTAGGCAGGTTTGAATGGTTTTGGATTAAGACCTACACAAAAGTTTGAATTGATCAATGATCTAGACTCCCATTTCCCTAAATTCCGGACTTTTGTGAACTCCAAGGAAATCACTAGGAATACATGATAACGTGTTTTCAGTTAAACTTTCCAAAACAAGGTTCAATTGTTCACTCTAGGGAATAAAAAAGAAAAGAAAGAGAGAGAGAGACAGAGAGAGAGAGAGAGGGAAATTACAAATCAGTGTAGAAGACGAAAAATAATTACATAGACATGGGGGTTGCATATATGGCAAAATGAAGTGTAGAGTAAGAGAATAACTAGTACCTGGCATCGCACATCAATTTGGGTGTTCTCATCCAAATCAATTTTGGTGGGTTTACCTGACATCAATCTATGTCCTATAGTTCCAGCCACACAATACCTGGGAAAGCAAGTTAAAACAAAAATTAGGATAACTGAAATTTCCAAATTAGCAATTTACTATTCCAAATTGTATTCTTGAAAGCTTTATGCTCTTATTAAGGTGCTAGAGCATATTGTTCAACATAAACCAAGGAGTAATTTAAACGGAATTGAGGTTTCTAAAATATATTCATTGTTCTTTGTTCATATATTTCAGCATTGTCGATTGGAATGTCAGCATCATATTGATATTATACTTTTAAAGTACATTTCTCACCAAAAACCCAAGCAAGGTGATGGTGCTTGCAGATTTTTAATCAGCAGGATGCTGGCATATTTTTTCTATATACCATCTTGAAGGCATGGATATAAGTTGATAATAAAGGGATGATTGCACGAACTTTTGTTTCAGATTTTCCATTTATGGCAATTGTGAGGGGCAGGCCATTCTACCAATTTGATAAGAAAATAAGCTTTTGCACAAATATTGAAGAAGAGGTATATATCGAATAATTTTAATGTAATCCTAGGAAGCATGGATACTTCAAATAGGTTGAAGTATCTGTATCCAATATACATGTGGATCTATATATACAATATGTATCATCAATATTATTTAATTAAAAGAAAACATTTTTTAGCAAGCAGATACTTATCCTCAATAAAACATTAATAAAATAACATTGATTGTCATGCTCAGGAAGGACACAGTTTGTGTTGTTACACATAAAAATGCATGTGTGAGAGAGAAATACGAAGGGCAGCAAGAGAGAGAGTTTATCTAGTCACGTGAAGGGGCTATTCGGATGCATTTGTTTCTTTTGGCCGTATGTGTCAATCTAAGAAGCACAAAGACTACTAAGGTGGTGTGTCCATATCGGACACCGATACTCATTGGACACTTCCCGATACATGTTAGACACATGTCCAAACAAGTTTTATCATTTTTTTAATTTTTCATTCGGACACACTTCGAACACTAGGAAAATTAGGGGTGGGCGTCGTGTCGTGTTGGGTCAAGTTCGTGTCGTGTTATCTCAGGTTTGTGTCAGAATTACCTCAACACGAACCCGACCAATATATTATTTCGTGTTATCGTGTTGTGTCATTTTCGATCTGTGTCCGGTTCATGTCGTGTTAACATGTCATGTCAAAAAATTTCACTATTAACTAAAAATATCAACTGTATGAAAAAAAATTTAAAATTTCTTCACAACTTAAGTTTAATGAAACTAATCTCTATTAAATGAAATTATTTACAAAAATATTTGATTTCAACTTAATTTTATTTACTTACTTTATAAAAATCCTATTTTATTATTATATTTTTTACTACATTAACTCAAATAATAGGTAAAAAATACATAAAGTTCAATTAAAAGCAAAAACAAAACCTATATTAAACTTAAAATCATATTTTACATGCTTTTTAATAAATTGGATGTAATTACATAAGAGATTAAAAATATCAAGATACTCTTTAGTGGAAATAATATTAAAATGTATAATTCATTATACGGATTATCGGTGTCAATTTTGTGTTACACAAATTTGACACTAACCCGACGTGTTTAATATTCGAATTATCAGGTCGTGTCATATACATGTTTGTGTCAGAAAATGGTCAACCCTAACCCGCTAATTTCGTGTACAGTTCAAGTCGTGTTATCGTATCGTGTCACAAATTCTCACCCTCAAGGGAAATATACATGTCCATTTCTTAGACACACACACGAAACATATTACAAGTTTCAACAAAATAAGTTAAGACCCATGATAAGAGAAAAATAATTTATATCTAATAATCCCTTTAAAATTTAACAATCACTATTATGTTGTATTTTTTTATTATCTTTGAATTGAGTGTTTATATATGAGATATATTAAATAAATATATAAAAGTATATAGCTTGCATATCTACCCAATTTCATGTCTTGCATTTTTTAAAAACTATCGTGTCGCAGGTCCATTGCTTCTTAGGTGTGATTTTTCAAGGCAGTTCATCTATTGCAATCATGATTGCTTTCCAGCTAGCCTTTCTATGAAGCCACGTGGTAATCATTTCAACTAAAATTTGACAAAAATCTAGACTTTTTTTACTACAAACTATATATGGGTTATTTTGAGTAACTCACAGTTGGATAAGGTAGGAACTATTTTACAATTTTGCCCCTAAAAGTATGGCACATACTGCTCAATTGCACAACTTCCTTCTAACCAACGGTATTGATTGGGCCAGGCTGAAAATTAAAAATTCCAGGTTAAAATTGAGTCGTCAAAACCACACAAGAAAATACAAGGACTATCGGTATTATTTGTCCAAATTAAAATTTCAATAATTAAAATTTGAAAAATTCTAGATAAATCAACGAAGATCGATAGAAGCAACGATGAGTGAGTGCTATAGGATCATGGTCAATGGAAACGCTATGGGGAAGGGAAGACCAAGACTGATATGGGATAGTTTACTAAAGAAATAAGTGCATTTACTTAATTTCTAGAGGAAGGCCCTTTCCATGGCCGTTGATAGAGCATGATGGAGAAAAGGATTCATGTCGATGACCCCAATTAACTAGGGAGGTTGCTTTGGTTTAAAATTTCTAGATACAGGTTAATTGATCATTTACTAAAATAAAAAAATAAATAAATAAACTACGAGCTTGTTTGAGAAGTGCTACCGTAGCACACTTTTTTTTTTTTCTTTTTTGGATCGCATCACCTCTTTACTTTTCTGCACATCTTTACGTAGAAAGTCAAAAAGTATAATTATTTAGCACTTCCCAAACAACCCCTACATTTCACTAAGCATATTCAACATTTAGCACTGATGCAAGTCTCTCTAACTTAAAATAAAACCCATTATAAGTTAACATTCAAATTTAAGTGGTATACAATTATATTGTTTGAATAGTTATTTTCTGTTTTTATTGTTCTTCTGTTAATATTTACTTAAGTTGAGGGTAAGATGGTCATATCGTTTTGTTAGAGTTTGTATATATATTTTGCTAATGTAGAGTTAAAATAGATTCATCGCAGATATATAAAATTTCTCTCTTTTCTCTTATTTCTTCTTCTTCCCCTTAAATCATAATCCTAAATTTCTTCATTATACATTCTAACTTGGTATCAGAGCAAACTATTCTTCATTAGAAGATGTTCTACAAATTCTAGAGCTTGATTGGAGTTGACCGGGACATGTTGATGTCATCATCAGTACGATGACGTCAGCATGACATTAGCATTGTACGGATGGATCCTCCACCCTAAATTGTCTCGTGAGATTTATAGTGATCTTTGTGGAATTTTTTGATCAATCCTGATGTGAGTTTTCTATTTTTGAATGTTTTTCATGATTTTTTATGCATTCTTTTTAATTTGGATTTGGGCTGTGTGTTTGCTGTTTTTTCCTGTTGGAACCCAATTCCTAGGAGCCGAAAATCAACTTTCTAGTGGTTGTTGCTATCAATTTGTTGTTTTGCTGCTGTTAGGTTGATATTTGGGTCGTTTTTGCCCCAATCTGTATCAGCAGACCTGTGTTTCTGGCTCTATCTCTTGGAATTTATCATATAGAGGCTGAAATTTGTCTAACAAGTGATTTTTTGCTCTTAAGTTGTTTTGTGTTGGTGGGTTTTTGTTTTTGGTTTAATTTGCGTCCGAATCTGTTTGACAGACTAATGTTCTCCTCACTCATGTCTAATTTATCTTGGATTCTTGTTTACTGAGATCTCCATTGTCTATATTGGTTGTTGTGGGTATTGATTAATTGCAAGTATTTTGCTACTTTCGTGCTCTTGTGTTGAGTATTTTGTGTGATTGATCTTCATGGCTGAGATCGAAGCTAAGGCTAAGGCTATGGCTATGAGTAAGGATGATGACATGCCTAAATCTATCACGACCAAAAAATGGAATGGTGCCAATTATTTGGCTTGGGCCCACGCTGTCAAAATTTTCTTCCATGGTAAGAAGTCCCGCTTCCTTAGCAAACTCCCTCCTACTGATGATATAGCTTATGATGATTGGTGTAGCGAGGAATCCTGTGTTATGGGTTGGATTTGGCATAGTCTGGAACCACATGTTGCTACTACCGTGGAAGTTTGTGATACCTCTATGGGAATTTGGGACTCCCTTGCTAAATCTTTTTCGAATCAAAGTAATGCCTCTCGAATCTATGAGTTATATGAGCAGATTTTTGCTATGCGCCAATCTGGCCGGTCACTTCCCAATTATTATAGTAGTCTCAAGACCTTGTGGGATCAGTTATTGCAACATCGACCCTTCACTACTGATGTGAACAAATAGAAGCAATATTGGGAGGAGTTTATGATTGCTTCCCTAATCTCCGGCTTAGATCCTGAATCGCGAGGGTTCACGGATTAGATTCTTGCCAGTGAGACTTTACCTTCTGCTACTAATGCCTATTCTCGACAGTTACGTTCCTCATAGGGCCAGGCACAACCCACCTCTGGATCCTCTCCATTGTCATCTTCTGCCTTGGTCTCTAGCAGTTGTGATCGAGGGCCTACTTGCGGGGGTTTTCATGGCCTTTCTAGTCCACAGGCTCTTATTTCGATTCACGGGATTCTCACGGAGGTGGCTCTCATGGTGGTGGCTCTCGTGGTGGTGGTTCACATGGAAAAGGTAATAGTGGACCTGGTTCTCACACATGTGGTGATCGCAAGTGTACTCATTGTGGTTCCCAAGGTCATACTGAACATCGGTGTTAACAGAAGTATAGCAAACCTGACCATGTGCATCAGGTTATGGATGCTCTATTCTCACAGTCATCCTTGTTTTCCATTGACTCTGTTGCTTCTCCGGTTGATTCTTATGAGACACTTACTACTCAGATTAGTGAGCTTACTGCTCTTGTCCAGTCTCTCCGGCCTAGTCTACCTTCATCCTCTACTGCTACTATGGCTAGTTCAGGTAATATTGCATGTATGGCTAAGTCTACTCAGCTTTAGCTCCTAGACTCTGGTGCTAGTTCCTATATCTTTGGTAATTCCTCTCTTTTTGAT